GCGTTACCGGATGAAAAGATGAGGTAACGTAGATGCTTAGTCTGCCCTAAACGTATGACCATGAATAATTATCTTTTTAATTTACTCTGGCTAAGTTCTGTTTAAATACTCATACGTATTGTACGTGAAGTGTCTATTAATACCTCACGTTCCTCATTGCCGATTGTAATTCTGTAACGTCGTCACATTTAGCTCGTAACTAATAACAGCTGCACCTAGGTGTTCAGGCTTCGGTGCAAAAATAATTCAATAAAATATACAAAAAATTGAAACGAAGAAGCAGATTGACGTTCGATTGCAGAAATAAATTTATGCCGACTTATAGCGTGTATTGTCTAGACAAACAACGTAAACTCAGGATATTTGTGGCGACCTATTGTTATACGAACGCAGCAGCATCCTACGACTTTATAGAAAAAGATTGTTCAAACTGCGTTATCGCTACCACTTGTGCATGAGCAGTCTTCATATCGTAAGCTTATTGATCCTGTGGGGTCATTTCAGTGTGCGGGGTCAGCTCCTGTTCACAACATTTCAATAGAATAGATTTAAAGGACAAAGCCCGCGTCTAACTATTGAGTTCTGACATTTAGATAGCGACGGTTACGGAACAGCGTATTCTATCGGCTGCATTAGAGTAGTTCTGCGGTTTACGAAACGGCCAGCTGAAAAGATGAGGAACGTTCGTGCTTGATTTGTATGGAATTAGCAAATGAATCGATGTTGTGGAAAACTTTATTGCGAAAAAAAAACTACGCCAATAACAGAACATAAATAAATCGAAACGAATGAAAGCGACCAAACAACACAGATGGACTAACTATCACCGTACGCTGATTGACTGTCGTCACTATGCGAATTTTTACGTCTATGATCAGGACCTTTGCGGTGCTGCTAATCCCTAACATATCTGATTAAAAAGTAAATATATACGATGATCGAGGACAGCTGCCTTACGTTTAGCTCAAGTCTCTCGGCAACAACGTTTCTAAGTGTTCTGATCTTTCAGAAAGGTACCGAAGCACAAGCTTCTTTAGAGAATATTAACACATGAAAATCGATGAAATAGAAGTAGTTCTCCGTCTACAATACCCCAATAGTCGTCATGTATAACTGACTATCTGTACGTTCTTCAGTTCACCTCTCAACCTTTCCCCCTCTTTCTCTTCAAAAAACTGATCGCAATCGTTCGGTAGTATGCTTTCCTTCACGTCCCAGTGGCGTATCGGAGACAGCGCCTGATTTGATTGATTCAGTGGTGCCAGCGACATAAAGTACTTCGCGTCTTAGCAACGACTAGGAGGCGCTAGATAGAGATTTCTAGTGGTCTCCGTTCATAAAATTCTGCGTTTTCGTAAAATATGGATACTATTTTACCATAAACATCTTGCAAACAAGCTGAGAACAGCAGGTGCTACTGGTAACTGGTTTAGCCTTTCGATATTCGACACAAGTGTTACGCCATTTGCTGCCTCGGAATTAAAAACAAACACTTACTGTATGGATCGGCATTTGTTTTTTATTAAAGGGCCGTATAAAATTTACCATAACTAATGTGCATTTACTCGTTCCGATGTACGATCTTGATCTAGGTAACTAACGAACTATTTTCTCTATCTGTTAGGAATAATAACACTATGTTCTGTGTAAGCGAGCAATATCTCGTACGATATCCAACCGTTGACTAGATTTTCAATGAACTGTTAGGGCAACTAACAGGCCTCTACAAAATGCACAGATCAACTCCAAAGATCAGCTCCAAATAACTCTCTTTTTTTTAAGTGATTGCCGTTTGCCCTGATGAGCTGGTCAGTCGTTCCGTCGATGACAACGGCGATAGGTGAAAGCCAACCGCGGTTTTCGAGCCGTTCAATTTACTGCTTTTCTGTCTCGCGAGAGTAAGTAAGTTGTTGCCTGGTTGTTTTGTAGCATCGACCCAGACACTAACAAAATGAACTTCTGAAAGCTATTTGTTTCTCTCGCATTTTCGCCCCTTTTTTCGCTTTGTCCAGACTTTACAAAGTTACGTAATATACCAAATTATAATAAAAATTTACCGTATTGCAACATCATGATTAGGTACTACACTAGTTATAAGGTCATTAATAACAAAGTAAATAAACATCATGAAATTGAATTAGTCTCCATAGTCCTTGATTTTATGTCTGCTTGTTACTTAATTTGGACAAGCTCTAATATTTACAGTTGTCGAAGTAAATATGATGAAAACCGAACCGAGTGGTTTTCTTTTTTATGCGCATTGTATCTTCATTTGCGACTGTGGTGTAGTTTCTAAGGTACTTTATTAATTTGGAGTAAATTGTTGTCCTCTTTTAACGGAAGGCTATTCGGTTATATATAGCCAGGTATATAGATGGTCCGAATGTAGGGCAAAGACCAATTAATTTGAATATATATATATATATATATATGGTACCCTGTATTCAACGTTGTATATTGAAGTGGTTCGGAACTTGTTCTTATGAAAATAAATTCAGAACTTCAATTGTATTCGGGGCAAAAATCTCATAAATGATTGTGGCCTTCAATTGCTGGAACACAGGTTTTAATTTGTCCCATATTACCCGTATGTATGGTGTAAAAAATAATTGCCCGAGTGAGGTCGAACAGTCGAGATCGAATTAGTAAACAACTTTTTAGCGATACGCTCGTATACTTCGAACGACGTCCTACCGTAGCTTTAGCCGATCTAAAGCCCTGTTACGATACCCCGTAACGACCCCCTGAATTTCTTTTTTAATTTCGTTTTCCGTAGCCTCTTCCTGTGTACCTGCTTATTTTGTCACGCGTATACTTACATAAAGCTACTGAAGTATTACGTCTAAAATAGATGCATTAGGAACTGAACTCCCGGCAACGAAAGTCAATGAGGCACTTGCTTAGTTATTGTATTGCTTTTAAGTGGCATTCTGTCGTTTCGCAGCTGAATTTTTCCAACTCTGACGTTTTTGTTTTGACCTTCGTTCGTCACTATTCATCATTCAGCAGGCAACGCGCATGATGGCCGCCCTGTTGTCTACCCACCGTTGAAGTAGACCTGCAGCTGCTGTGTTTGTTTCATGTCTAGCCTCGAGGTTCACTTGCTTTCTCGGTCTGGTTTTTACTTCGGAACATGTCGATCTGTGCACCCACGCTAGTACATCCACGACACGATATACGAAACTAAAAGAGAGGAACGATAGAGAAACTAAAAGAAGTGGCTTTACAAAGAAGTCCTGCCCTACACTTTTTCTCGACCCGCATTTCCCCATCCGCACTCCACCGACCCAAAACTTCGACGACAGCAACTCGACGCAACCTGTAAAACTCACCGGTCCTAACCTGCAAAGCTTGGCTAATCAAACCATGGAGATTGATTTCCAATCAGGCCTGACAAACAAGCGAGCGCGGGTGTTGAGCCGGGTTCCCGAGGCTAGTTGTTGTCATGGCGGTGCAAACGAAGTCCAAGCCAAGTGAGGAAGGGGATTTTATAGCCCAACGTTCAATACGTCCAGAAATCTACCTCCTTTTGCTTGGTCTCCGATATTATTCCCGTTAATTTCCCGTTGCCAGCCTGCATGTATGTGTACGTGTGCGCCTTTGTTTGTGAGGGGTTGTGTGGCAACTTTTCGGCGATGAAACGTGAGCGGAATGCCTCATCAGTAGGAGCAAAGCGGGAACGTGGCGGTGGCGGTTCGAAGTGTTTTCAAAATTCCCTCAGCTCCTGCCCGCAGCACCCATCATGCTCATATATAGACGCGCCCTTGGCCCATCCCAGAAAAATCCACTGCTTCTGGACTGTTTCAAACGTCGCTACCTCAGAAATGCCAAGACTTCCCACTCTGCCATCCTCCAAGTGGAGCTAGTGGTACCGGTGGCATATGTAGTAGTAAACCCCCAGTAGCCCGAACGTCCATAGAGTGTCGGACTTCCTCCGAAACTACATGTACGTTTCAGCAGTCGATCCCCGACTCAGCCCATCCGAACCCCGGATGGATGTTCGAATCGCATTTTATTTTTTGTAATAGCACCGCGGCGGCCTGCTATTCTATTCCATTGCTACTGTTTGGCCATTTGGCCGTCGCGTTGTGCTTTTGCGCTTAGGCGTATCAACGGATGCAAGAAGAGCGTTTCCGGACGACAGCATAAGATACATATAACGGTAACCGCTTGCTACGAGTTGGGGTTCAGTTGACGAACCGCAGTAACAGAAAGCTGTTTGAACTTATTAAATACCGTGCAACGTTCTCTAAGGGTGGATGAAAACGATTAATTGACAACTATCTTCGAGCTAATGAATAGGATAGTGTCCTAGAATTGCGCCTTGGAAGTGTCCAAAAAAGACCGAGAAAGCAATTAAACACAGGCTGTTTTGTATGGTATAATTAGATGCTATTTTTGACATCGCCTGCCTCTCACGAAGAATTGTGGCGAAGCAAAAAAAAATGTTTGTCTCTGTCTTCTGTTGGCATTAATTACTGCTTATAAAAGAGCCACGCTGAAAAGTGGGATCAGCAAAAACGTATACAAACATATACGTTGTATTTTTTTTATACAAACTATTTTTAAGAGGCGCCTGTACGATTTTATAGTTCATGGGTGGTTGTCATTATATGCCCGAACACCGTCGCGTTATATATAGCTGTCGCCAAGTAATACCTGAAACATAAATACCCTCGCAAATTCAAGCGATTTATTTTCTGTTTGTCTCATTTTGAATAGGAATGGGTGATGGGGCACGCATGTATCTACTTTAGGGGGAGTGGCAAAAGCGAAGTCTTTCTTCTTTATGATCGAATCGTACCTGCAGAAACGTAAGAATAAATTATGATCTTTTATTGCTAGCCAAACAGCCTTCGTAAGACTTCATTAGTGCACGAGCATACGAAGGCCTAGAAAATTTTACATATACATACGTTCGTAAACTTTATTAAATGTTCTCTTATATGCAGGCGTTGTTCTTGTACAGTTTCATTATCAGCATGCATGTACCGAAAAAAAATTGTTGATATACAATTGAAATCCGTCCTGTCGATACCGTAACAGTGTCTAGTGGAGCTAGAGAAGCGACAACAGGCCAAACTTTCCAATCCTACATATAAAGTACTTTTAACGCATAACGAAATCCTAAAACTGCAATCTATATATATATATATATATATATATGTATATATAATAGTAGGCTTGTAATGAAACATTATTATATATTACTTGTTACAACTGTTCTAGAAGGTTAACAACAGCAAGTTGGATCGTGTTCAATTGTGATAAAATACGCGTGCTTCGAAAAGATTATCATGCAATATAATATCGTGCATTCATTTAATAGTAGTCTTGTAATTATAGGAATCATCACTAGCTAAGTTTAAAAAAAAAACTAACTGTTCTCTTACAAAGTATATGTTTCGTAGTCTTTCTGCTGCGATGCTGATGGCCGCAGAGAACAACAGATACCGACACGCAGTCTCGAACCAACAGCCGTAGTCAGTAAGAAACATTTCAGCCATCCAATAAAGAAAGATTTAGAAAATTGCCAATATTTATAGTTTTGTTGCAAGTTACAGGTAAATACCTACTTCTCATAAAAACTGTTCATGTTTTCGTTAAACTTTAGAATCTCGTTAGAATTACCTCCATAAAGGTAACTCTTGCAAATCAGGCGCTTCCTCTGTATTTATTTGGACTCTGAATTTCTTTATACTATTTTATACACGAGCATGAACGAGGATGAACCTTTGTTTGCTTACCATGTGAATGTTTGGATGGAAATTAATTCCAGCTTAGCTTTAAGTTTACTTGTTAACACTAACCCGGCCTTTAGGTTATCGTCAGCGCTTAGGGTCAAGCGTGCTCGTCGTATAGTATCATATATGATAGGCTTATAATTTTTACAGGTTGATAAAAATATCTGCCGCTTGACCATTCTATTGAGAGTCCATCTTATTTCATTTCATTCGATCGATAGTATTTCAGCGTGGCGCACAGAAGTGAATGAATGTATGCTCGTTTCTATAATAGTGATTTCTGTCACTGTCGTTGTTTTCGTCGGCGGTAGCTTCATCGTCATCGTTATTTCTGAATAGCCAATGTATGCCTGTGTCTATGCAATGTGTTCCTTCGAGGTGGGGATCGGGGGTCTCCGTGGGGACCTTTGGTGGGTACGGAACCAGCAACAAAAGCGCCGAAGGCGGCTGGGCCTGTTTTTTCGAGCTACTGAAGCCGCCTTTCCGAGCAAAGCTAAAGCCGATATCAAATCGCTCGTTTCTGGATAGTCAGCGAGCTGACGCATGTTTCAACATATACATATACACACGCACACGGGTCCAGACGATTGCATCGGCAACCAGGCACACTTGCAGCCAGTCTGAAAATTACATCAAGCTGCCGGGATCGAAAATGGCAGTATATGATAATAGATAGACTGCAGAAATGACGGCAAAAGCAACAAACAGGCATGTATGAGTTGCCAAAACTCCCGCGAGCGCTATTGCATCAGCGGACCAAGCATACAATTATGAAGTGCTCCGGCCACATACGAGTTTCCTTCGTCATTGTCTATCATTATATTTTGAGAAGCTAAGCGACTCGAGCAATAATTTTCTTACTTCGCGTCGCTTCCTCGTTATTCATTTTGTTAGCTAGAGCGAAACATATCATAATGAGTATCGCCACTATTTTTTCTTGCAGAGATCAGGAGATTGGGAAGAACCAACGGGTTTTTGTTTCGCTTTCATCGCTCAACTCAGACACGTCTCGTCAGCGGATATTACAATAGATATCCTACTGAGAGTCAAAATTCGGCGCATCTCCTCGAAGCTACGACGATTTCGAAGACCTTCGCCATATATGCTATTTTCATACCGCCAAAGCTGGTTTTTACGATGGGTACGCCGGCCCAGCTCATGCTGCTCGTGTAGCACACGCTGTTCCAGTCGTCGCTAAGGTTACGGGTGTCACCCCGGCTCCCCTTGCTTCTGTTGTCCCGGTCGATGCTAAGGCTCCGATGATCCACTCTACCACTTACGAGCCCAGGTCGTACGCTGTTTCCGTTATGTCCAACGGTGCTGTCGTGACCGTGCTTTTCGCGTACGGAACGTACGCTTGCGAACCGCCCATAAAGATTCTATAGAAACAGATAAAGGTGTATTAACTTGTTAATAAATGGATTTGAATGTAAAGCGTAACGTTTTGAGATATTGGTGCGTGTAGGGTTTACCTGGAGGGAAGTTCGGCTTGTAATCTTGTTTCCCTTCTTATACACATACAAAAATACTATTTTACTGAATTGATGTTGAATGGGGCAACGTTCTTTTGGATGTATTATTCTATATGCCCGGTAAAAGAGTTACAATTAAAAACAAGATATTTAGTTAATCATTTTATGTAAGTTTGTGCGAAATCGGAATACCAAATCTGTTCGTAGCGCCTGAAGAGTATTGCATAATTCTACACAATTTTTAGAGTTAACGAGACTAATCTTTTCTATATGATGCCCTGAAGTAATTTGGAGACTACTAGGTAAGCCGATGAATACGAGGAATAGCAAGACAGGACGTCACGAGTGTTTAAAGAAGCACTATACGGCAATTCTAAAGCGAAATCGGTATGAGTCTAATTTTACGGTTGAGTAAGCAACATAAGTATCACGGGCAAATTCTCTTTGAAGTCCAACAAATATGTCAATGATAGCTATATATCGCCCACTCATAATGTACTTAACTTGCTGTATATATAATGGTAACAACACATTATATTCTATAACCCATTGGTACTTGGTTATCCCTCTCAGCAGGTCACTTAAATTCGAGAGCCGTGCCCAATTACTTTTTATCATTTCTAAGTACCGTTATTTTCCTTAAACGCAAACAACGAGTTCAAACTTAGCTAGAAATTATAACTTTATTTATATAACTTGATAATATGGCCATACAAGCGAAATATCTATGGTCGAACTAGCTCTAGTGACAAGGCTGACAGTTGGAGCATTTTTAAAAGAACGTACATATGAAGACACATCGTTGGCTAATTCTACTCTTTGCGTCTCACGGACCGATATATCCGGTACTCTACTATACTCCTCTATTGACGTGAAAGACTGTTAATTTTTTAGTAAACTTTCTCATATGAAACGTCATAAAATATCTTACTGCACGGAGGTTACCTGTTTTTAGGAGTAGTAATAGTATACGGGAGGTGCATGCATACGGGAAATTAACAAGGATGCAACATGTCCATCCAACTGTGTACCGCGAAAGATCGGAAACCGGTTTTTCTCAACCATCTCATTTTAATACTATCTGCGTCCCTATTTTGGCTTAATTGTGGGTTAGTTTGTAGTCGGTATAGTAGCAACCGAAATGCCGCTTCTTTTTTCTAGACATCTTTAAAAATACGTCGTCGAAAACATATGGAACAAATTCGTAGTGTTTTGGCTGAATTCACCTCAGTTTTACGTAGACAATACAAATTCACCTTCAGGGGTATACTGCGTACCTGGACGCCATCTTTCCAAGCAGTGCACAAAAGACTCATCAAACGGACCCCGGTTTTGACTTTAAGAAGCACAGGGTGCATATATTCGTATCAGTTATGTGCTTGCACACACATATATATA